CGCCACGTAAACCAAGCCTTCCTCTTTGCTTGCAGAATACGCTGCGTGCCTCTCTTTAACCATGATGATTTTCTTTTTGGCTGTGCTGTGACTAAAGGGACGGTATCCGAGATCGCTGTATGAATAATCTTTTTTACCGCTTCCCAGTGTTCATCCACAGACAGCTCATCCCATGCTAAGGGCCAGTCTGCATCGAACAAGAGCCTCCGCATTTCAGCGTAGTCAGCCTTGCTGTAACACAGACATGGTTGCGTAGCGTCCCACTGCAAGTGCTCACGGAGAACGAGGTCGAAACCTATGACTGCATGGTCACTACTTCCTAGAGGAGTCATGACCTGGACCTTTTCGACGAGTAGTTGGTCACTAGTTAGAATGTAGTCTAGTTTTGATGACTTTCCACTAGGGCCCCACCTAGTGTCGTCTCCAACATTCTCAGTCAGTCCCGTGTCCCGAATAGCTTGCAGTAGATTTCGGCCGAATTTTCCCTTAGCATACCCCGAGCCAAGGTTCAGTGATGGGGCATTGAAATCTCCAGCAATGGTGATTTGGTCATAGCCCAAGTCTCGTATCCCTGTGATAGTGCTGAGCAGTAGCTGATTGTGCTCTGCCCCACAGGTGGGAGATCGGTAGATGCCACCAAGTAAATGCTTGGTGTGGCCTACGGTGAAATGACACCATATGGAGTCTGGGAGTTCAATAAGTGGTGGGTCCGTTGCGCGAACACATTTAAGTTGCCTATCAAAGTATATGGCAACTCCCCCTCCTTCCTTATTGTCCCTGTCTCTCCTGACCAAAACCATATCACCTATACTGATTTCATTATCGGCGATAGTGGGGGTTAGCCATGTTTCGGTGAGAATGATTATTTTCAGTTGTAGGTGTGCTTGGAGATTTCGGAGTTCACCTATTTTTACTCTCAGCCCCCTCACATTGCTATACAGGCAGCTGACAGTGAGTCTTACAACCTCAGCGTGTTGTGGGGTAGTTGACGTGAAGCTATCTGCTGGTAGGGAACTTAGTGTTGGGACTAATTGGCCAGTTCCGATGGAACCGGCCCATTGTGGTTTTTTCCCTTGGATTTAGGCAGGACACTTGGGTGGCACAGACTGTTATTCTCAGAACTGCATCGCTCGAGTGTCACTGAAGCTTGGGGACGTATTAAAGCCTCAGTTTGCTGCCTCCTTATGGTTCGAGGTCTGCTTTCGCAACATCGGATGTTTCCTCCCAATTTCCCCTTGATCTCATACCACCGTTGAAGTGTTATGGCCAACTGCTCTGGGGAGTTGAATGTGACACTAAGCAGCCTTGGGGAGCTAATCAGTGTGAGATGAGCGGGGCGAGGTAGTCGGTAAACGGAGATGGCTCCAGAAGCGCCAAGGGCCATCTGAGACGACAGCCATCTCCACTGCTGTACGTCATGCATGTGTTTTTCACAGGCAGTGCCCGTTTCCAGCTCCGGGACACCGTGCACTACCATAGAGGTGGAAGGCAAAAGTTCCGGTGACTCCCTTGCCATTTGTCTGACAGCCCATGGTCTGTCTTGTCTCACCCTTATGTTAGAGCTTCTGTCGATGGCTAGTACCTGAGCCATCAATAGTACCTTTTCGGCCTCTTCGGCAGAGTCCAGTGTAACCCGTAATGGGGGTGGCTTACCTTGAGGTGTGTGGACACCCCTGTACAGCCTGCACAATTTCACTGAACTAATATTCAGACCTAGTTTATTGCACAGGTTGGACCACTGTTCCTGATCAAACAGGGCCCGCTGTTCAAGCAAGCTGTCCTTGCTCACAGGTACGTTAAAGAGGATGAGCGAATTAGACCGATTAACCTCAGACTTAGGTTTGGCCTTTGGCTTCTCATATTCCTTTGCAGCATCAGCAACTTTAGGCTTCATCGGGTTCTGACCAGCCTTTATTGTGTTGCCAAGCTTGCTTGTGGATGCAAGTGGTGCTTCTCTAACTCTATCTTTCCTTGATTTTTTAGGTCCAGCCTTATGAATCTTCACCTTGTGAAAATTGGCATTTTCGGTCAGTAGGACAGGAGTGTCCTTCTTACTGTCTGTGCCAAGTTTTGGCAATGTGACGTTAGCAGGTGGGGAGCTACATAAGACCGTGTTGGGACACAAGGGCGGCGTGTTGTTTCTGCTAACCGCAGACACGCTCTGTGTGACTACACCAGGGCGACAGAGTGGACAGATGTACCAAAACCACGGGCATGGGTTATTTCTCATAAACTCGTAGTATGATTTCGGTACCTCTTTGTCGCAACGGCAGTGCACCCACCGTTTGCAAAAATTGCATTCGAAAGCTGAGTCAGCTTTAGAAACAATGATATTGCACGCCTGGCACTCGTCTCCCTTACTTGGTGACGCCTTCGAGGTCTTATGACGTCTTGAGCGTTTCCTTTTAGGTTTGTTGTACTTCACACATTGGCTTTCAGTTGGTGCAGGTGTAGTAGTATCCTGTCCTACTAGTATTGCCTGAGCCGTTTCAGTACTAGACTGTGGCACTGCAGGCATAGTATCCGGACAGACGAGTCCTACACGGGTCTTTAGGATGGGTATGCAATTTGGGGTTGGTGTCCCTGCGTTTTTGCCTTCTCTGGCTGAAGCCCTTGTGACTACAGAGTAAGGTGTTTTGGTGCCATTTCTAAGGTTACTTTCTACAGCCATATTAACTATCGCTAAAACTTATGCTGTATAAGAATAAAAGTGCAACAGTATCTACCCACAAGAAAAAGATTAAGACTGAAAAAGTACAAGACAAGGAAAAGGAAAGGTTTTCGACTTTACCTAGTACTTTCTGGATGATCGGCTTCACAGCAATCACGTGGTAGACCAACAAGTCTTGTTTATCTGAACGAGTGGGGAAGATGCTGCTACAAAAATAGCACCTGAAGCTTTGACAGTAGTTCGAGACAGCTGGACTTACCACACAGAGATTCGATATGTAAGTAATGGTTGAATTTAATTCACCGGCTAGGAAGATCAGGTTTCCCAAGCGGATAATTCACAAAATAGGTATTTTCCGGTTAGAGAGGAAAAGTCACGTCGTATTCAAGGAGCGCGCGTGTGCTCGAAAGGTCATCAGCAAATAGATACTAATACTGTATAACACTGTGTGCTAAATCACATTCTGCAGCAAATTCGATAGTAGAAAAAAATTAAAGAAAATTGCAATATTGGTGAGTGACAGATGACACTGTTCATCGGAGCCTCTTATTCAACAGACCGAGTAGTTGCCAGGATCACACACACACAACTCATGCATGAAGACGCTGTGAGAGCCACACATATTGTGTAACAACGGCTAATAAAGCTACGCAGTTTCCCAACACAGGCCAAAGTAGATGGAGCGAGATTTGCAACACTCAACCCATCGTCTGAAAGCCAAGTACTTAAGCCAATGCACCATATATATATATATGCCTTATCTAGTAGTGAGTGTACTAGAAACTATAGATACTGAGTCTCACGTGACGTCTCATTGAGCCAAAAACGAATACTTCTACAGACAACTGGGGATAGTAAAGAACAAGACAGACGAGGGCCGTTGTGGCCCCATTAGCAGAGTGTCAGAGCTTCTAAGAGAGCCAAGTCCACCCAACTACTCGTATAAGTCAGTAGTACGTACCATGAGATGTTGCAATACGTAATTTACTGTCAATGTCGTAGTGATAAGTTGGTTAAAAATAACTAATCAGTATCAGTATATGAAGGGGATGATAATCAAGAAAGAAAATTAGTGACACAACTGAGGAGAGGACATAATTTTGAAAAGTAATCAAGTGAAGTGATGGCTGAACCCCAGCCACAGTAGATTGATCGCTGATGAAACCTCACCACGGATACAGAAGGCTTGTCTGGCATTTCCCAACTAACGCCACTTCTAAAGTAGACCTCTAAAGACCAAAGAACGTGTGTACTGCACAGCAGCAGTTCGCGCCATCCTCCCGTATCTCTGGCTATGAAAGAGGCATGGCCGCCATGCAGAAAACAAGACATGAAAACCCTGACTGGCTAACTGTCTTTGATCAGAGATGTATGCGTCTGTCTGCCTGTTTGTCTGTTTCCCATGTTAGGTGGTGGGTGCAATAATAGGGTGCTACGTAAGGAGGGAATGTCAGTGGACAAGATTGTGAAGTTACATCGGTTCAACGAGACGTTCGGATGTGTGTTACGCACACATGCCAAGCCATTGATCGCCTTCGTTGACCGACAGTCAATGCTTTCTGACATAGGATCGATAAGGTTGGAAAAGAGTTATTGTGGATGGTTAAACAGAAACATGGCTTCATCAGTCAGTGACATCCACATACGGTCAGTTTACTCCAATCAGTCAGTCAGCCACGTAGGGAGGTGTAGACTACTTGGCGGCTGGTTGGGGTCGTCGGGATGGTGGTAAGAACCAGTGGTGGCTGGAGACAATTGGTAATATGGTTAGCTCAAAATCATCGTTCTCAGTGATGGCTGGCGCAGATGCATTCACCCTTTGTGATGTTTTGTAACATCCAATAAGACTCCATCGTTCTTCAATATCACTAGTATCCTTTTCCCTCATTCACACTTGTGTTTATTATCTCTCTCTCTTGTTGAACTTCTCTTTACTCTCTCATTTTGGTCTGTATGCTACAAGGAGGGAGTATGGCAACTCGAACTGCTGCATATCTGTGCAAAGTTTGTTAGTTGAAACCAGTTGGTCAGTCAGTCAATTCTTACAAACATTTGTGCACTCTAATTATTCCACTGACTCTCTTGGTTAATAATGATCATCTCGTTTGAGCAAGAAAACTAAAACAAACTTAACACCACGTACTGTGCATTAAAATGGGCTGTACAAATTACAGTGGAAAGAGACAGAAAGAGAGAGAGAGAGAACTATTGCCGACAATCTAATTAAAAAATTAGTGAGTATTTCACATCGTTTTTAATTATTAATTATGAATCGTGTTTTCTAAAACTTTAATGAACAAAAAGGAAGTTAAATAAAAAAAGACCTAACCTGATTGAACCATCGTGTTGATGCAACAATATTTGGTGCATATTGCATTTTTTCTTTACTATTCCATTTGAGTGTATAAAATTCCTGAATAATTGAAAAACAAATACAAATATTAGAGATGCATATAGTGCGTTTGTTTGTTTGTTTTATGTAAATACTCTGTTAAGTGAAAATATACTGTGATCAGTTTAATTATATCAGAAGGAATGCGAATTTATTTTCTTTATTGAAAGTCATACTGGATACTGTTGTAATTTCTTTCACTGAAGTAGATAGAATATATGGTTCCAGAGCTGAAAGTCACATGTCTATGTCAAGGAATTCTGTTAACATACCTCCAACCAAGGACCTACTGGTCAATAAATTTTACGGAAGGAAATAGAGATGAATTGAACACACGCTGAGGATCAAAGATAGCCAGCCAGATAGGCTTTTCATGTCTCCCAGACCTAATGGTGGCCAAGCCTCGTTCACAGCTAGCTATAAAGGAGGACGGAGCGAACTGCTACTGTGCAGTACACAGGTCCTTTGGTCGACAGCCAGCGGGATATCACGTCTACGTGAGAAGAGATGGCGTGAGTTGGCAAATACCACACGAACGTTTCGTATCCGCAGTGAGATTTATTCAGCGATCAACCCTCTAGGGCTTGTTGATGGTCAACACGCTCAGCCACTACTTCACTTACTACTATTAAGCTAGGATTCAATACAGCCCAGTCCTGTTGCATCACTTTGCATTTGACTGCAGTAAATCGCATGCCAAACATTCGAAGATTGCTTTATGATGCAGGTGTCCAGAAGATTCTGCATTTTGTCAGCGTCTTCACCTAGAAGGACTATATCATCTGCATATTATAAGTCAGTGAGATTGTACTCTGGTAACAAGTCAATCCCTGAGTCACAGAAGTTGGTTAGTGTTAAGTCCATTAAACAGAAACACAAATAGTGGTGGGCATCCTTGATAGACTCCACTAGTTATCATCACATCAGGTGACAACTCTCCGTAGTTGCTTATCTGGTTGACTGCATGAGTTTGAGTAGAGTGCCTTGATCGGTGAGATTTGCTTTCTCGGCATTCCTTTCACAGCCTTATATCAGTAGACGGAATCAAATGCTGCTTTCAGATCATAAAATATGACAATTGTTGGACGGAAGCCGGCAAAAAGTATGCCTATGTTCCAGAATACACACTGATGTGAAGCTGAACACATCTAGGATGAAATTGCTTTCCTACGGTTCCTAATGGTTCTCAAAGTGACATGAATGACATGAATAATAATAATAATAATTACAATCCTTCAAAAGCAATCAACTTACATCTGCTTCTATTGCTTGAAAATATTTCAGTTCAATTAAAGTGATCTGTTGCTATAAAAGAAATAAGAAAGGGAAATACAGAAGGTAAAAAAGTCTTAATAACAGACAAAATGTAGATTTATGTGTAGGAAGAAATGATCAGTCACACAAACACACACACATACACACATTTGCAATGAGTGCGCTTATTCAGTACGAAACACAGTAGAATTACATGAAGTGACTTTCTACGTTTGCATGTACATCCACTTGCTGAAGAGTCCCAAAGAGGACGAAATGTGTGTTGTACTGAACTGCATAGCTAGCCACCATCCCCATCAACTATATATGGACTAAAATAGTCCAGTTCTTGGAACATAATGCATGCATATATAATGCCTACCGTAGTAACTAACATACCGTAATCTATTTGCGATCGAATACTGCATTACTCACTAATTGCTGTATCATCAACACAACAGACATGCTTCAATGATAATTTACTCAGTCAGTAAAAGATGGAAAATTAATTTAAAGTTAGTCATAAGTCCCAACAAGATTCGAACTTTCAACACAAATGTTAAGTCAGTCAGTCAGTTCTTCTATATCGGTGTGCCAAGTTTCTGATCGATATAGAAGAATTGACTGACTGAATGACTGACTTAACACTGGTATTGAAAGTTCGAATCTTGTTGTTTATGCTTCGGCAGAGTGGAGAAGATTTCCAAATTGATTTCTGAGTGATGGAGGTGTCTGTCTTGCCTTTCCAATCCAGTCTGGTTTTGACATCCTCATCAATGGAGTCGGCTATAGTTGAAAGGATGCTTCCTGGTGAGAAAAGTGAAGGAAGTGACCTATTTCAAGTTTCTCCCGTTTATAGTGATTGGTGCTGGTTGTTGTTGTTGTTTTTGCTGCTGCTGTTGGTTGGTTATTTTTTCTTGATTATAGCTTGATTCCACACCGTATTATTGGTAAAAGTATGGAATTTTCAGTATGTGATATCGGTAGCCCAAATTTTGCAGGCCAACCAATTGATATCAGGTGTGAGTCGGTTGGGGATCGAACCTTGGACCATGTGCATGGTCGGCAAGAGTCCTAACCGCTGTCCCACCTTTGTCTTCTCTATGTTCACCTGGAGTGTTGTCATTTCTGGCTGCTTCTTCAGTCAGTTTGTCGCTTTTTGCTTGCAAGTCTTCATTCTACTTTAACCACAACAATTGGGTAGCCCTCATAAAATAAGCATGGCTCCCAACCGGGTACTGGGTAAATAATTAGTTATCTAACTATTTAAGCTGAAATTTTGTAAATTCACCTTTTCTACTATACATTGATAAATTTATTAGCCGCATTAAATGACGAGAATTATGCTCCTGTCTATCCCAAGCAAAATACTGAGCCGATTCATCCTGGAGAGAATAAAACAAGCCCTGGATGAAAAACTTCGACCGGAACAGGCTGGATTCAGGAGGAACAAGTCATGCATTGATCAGATCGCCACATTACGGATCATCATTGAACAAAGCTTGGAATGGCAGTCAGTCACCTCTCTAGCTCAACTTCGTCGAATTTGAAAAGGCCTTCGACAGCGTCGATCGAGAGGTGCTTTGGCAACTACTTCGCTACTACGGAGTGCCGTCAACAATTATACACCTCATCCAACAGCTGTACGACAATGCTGCATGCCTCCAAGTAATCCACAACGGGAAACTTACGGAATACTTCGAAGTGAGGACAGGAGTAAGACAAGCTGGCTCCCTACTATCGCCAATGATTTTCCTGATTGCAGTAGATTGGATAATGCGACAAACAGCGGGCAATAAGGAAACAGGCATAAAATGGACTCACACAAAAAACCAACTTGGAGGATCTGGACTTCGCCGATGATATATGTCTGATTTCCCACAAACTGGAAGATATGCAAGTGAAAAGCAACAAGTTGGCAGAATAAGCATCAAAGATAGGACTTCAGGTGAACATAGAGAAAACAGAGGTGATGAAGATTCCTGGACAACAACAACAACAGACAACGATCAGCATAAATGGGAGGAACCTGAAAGAAACAACCTCTTTAACCTACCTGGGAAGCATCGTTTCAACTACAGGCGGACGGAACTGACGAGGATATCAAAGCAAGAATCGGAAAAGCAAGACAAGCTTTTACTACTCGAAAGCCTGTGTAGAGGTCAACAGCACTCAGCATCAAAAGTAAGATCCGGATTTTCAACTCCAATGTGAAATCAGTCAGTGCTACTATACGGATCAGAGACTTGGCGCGTCATGAAAAGCACTTCAAACAAACTACAGACCTTCATTGACAGTTGTCTTCGCTGAATACTCAAGATGAGATGGCCAACCAGAAAAGATCAGCAACAGGGAGGGATCTCTGGGAACGAACCAACCAGGAACCGATTGTGAAACAAATAGGCAGGAAGAAGTGGAGATGGATCGGCCATACTCTGAGGAAACCATCAAGTGACATCACTAGACAAGCCTTCGAGTGGAACCCGAATGGTAAGCGGCGAGTTGGTCATCCAAGGGTGACTTGGAGGAGGTCATGTGAAGAAGAGATGAAAACGTGTGGGCAGATATGGATCCAGGTGAAGACTCTAGCAGAGAACCGAACTCAATGGAGACGCACGGCTGAAGCCCTATGTTCCTCTAGGAATTAAAGGAAACAATAATAATATTATAATAAATTAAATGACGAAGCTTCCGTTAAAAACAACACTGTTTTGTTGTTTTATTTTATCATTTATTGAGAAATAAGAAATTTCAAAAGGAAAAAAACAATTTAACTTACAGCAATCAATTCTGCATCAGCTTTCAAGTGTTTCTCATGACAATTTTTACCAACATCTAATGTATCATAACTTTTACGAACAATTCTGATAACATTAGGTACAGTGGATGATTTACAACGATTTGCTTTATCATTTGTGTTGTTTATCAATGATGTTGGTATTTTTGTTGGGGTTGGTGTCGGAGTTGATGGTGTGACCATTGTTGATCCTTTTTTATGAGCAATACTACTACTATACTACTAATAGCTGGTTGGGAAAATATTGAATCCAATGAACTCTGAAGGGATAGAAAACAAAAACAAAAAAATTAGTGGCAAACTTATCAGTAAGTATGAAATGTTTAATGCAGCTTTTCACTTATTTACCAAAATAAAATACAAACAATTAAAATAGTGAATGTCATGGTATTTCGGATTGATTCACTCCCATTTGTTTATGTACTTCAAAATAGAGACAATGTAACGTTAGAATTAGTCAATATGCTCATGTATCATCTAGGCAGTTGGATGGGTGCTGTCTGCCTGTCTGGATTCATCATAGAACTTGGCACCGAAGTGCAGCAGTTCGAGTTGCCACTTTCCAAATAGCACACAAAGGTAGACAAGAAAATGAGTGAAGAGAATCAATAGAGTTTCGACAAGTATAAGAGTGAAACAGAATGAGTAATGGTAGAAAGGAATATGAAAGATTACAGAGACTGAATACATCTGCGCTAGCCATTGACAACGATTTTGAGCCATGTCGCCTATTGTCTCCAGCCATTGATTCTTAGAGTCCCGAGGGCGGGCCCCAACCCGGAAGTCTGCATCTCCCTACCTGACTCAGTTTAACTGTCAGGGATTTCATGGATTGATGAGGCCATGTTTTTGTTTGGCATGTCACCACTTACTCTTTTCCAACCTGCACCTATATCAGCTAGTAATGCCCGTCCGTTGGGGGAGGCGATGGTTAAGCATGCGCAGCATGTGACCTAGCCATCTCAATCTGTGTAACTTCATAGTCTCGTCGATTGATTTTCCCTCTTTGCCCAACACTCTACGCCTAACGTCAACATTACTTACCTTATTATGCCACCTAACGTGATAAAGAGATCGTAGACATATATGATCAAAAGCAGTCAACCTTTTCATGTCTTCAACTCGTATTGGCCATGTTTCAGAGCCATAGAGAAGGACGGAGCGAACTGCTGAGCAGTACACACGTCCCTCGGTTGATAGCTGGATGTCACGCCTACGCCAGAGATGGTGTAAGTTAGCGAAAGCAGCTTGAGCTTTTTGGATCCGTGCTGAGATTTCAGGGTGGTACGTATGTATTTTCACATGGTAGAAACTATCTTTCAAATGTTGTTATATATTGGAATACCGCCTTTGGTGGCTTGAACATATTCTACGAACGCCATCCAATGAGCTCTGATACTGTTCACTGTTTGTTATGTTTTCAATAAAACGCTTAGAGCTTATGAATCAACAGATACATTCGAAAAGAATCTAAACATTTTATATGAGACAAACTAAGTATTGTTTATAACAGAGGTCAGTCAACGCATGAATTTATCCTCATGCAACATGCCAAGAGGAATTACAGTGCTACAAAGCAATTGCTAAAGTCAAATTAAATGGAGCACAAAGCAAGATGCTTCTTTTCGAAGTCAGGTATCTTGGAGAATGTGGAACACTTCCAATAACAGTGAATGAATAAATAGATTAACAGGAATGACCTGTAGGATATCTATGTTTACCTTTTCAAGCTCTGATTCCTTATTTGGAAAATTCGCCCGAAATCGACTGTTTTTCTGACCAACTAACATTGGCTACACCTCCCCACGTGGCTCAAACTAACTTAGAATAATTTCGTGAACCCTTTCCATCTTTTGGCATGACCACCATTAGGCTCTTTTCTACACTCATCAATCCTATGTAAGCTAACATTCTCCGTCGACGAAGGCGATAGATGGTTAGGCATGCATGAGGAACACATGTCCTTACCATCTCAATCGATCTATATTCACAACCTGTTACGAAGGAGTGTTACTGGATTATGGAGAAAGTTAACTTAACCAGAATGTGCCTCCAGACACGATACTATAACTACTTGAAAATATCCCCCACATCGAAATAGACAAAAAAAGTCAGGTAGATTGACAGCGGCAATAACCTGTTACTCAAAATACATGGTATTATATAATTTACAAAAATTCAATCTGATTTGCTGCGATCCCCAGAAAGTGAAACTATAAATAAACGAATCAAAAACTGTCCAGTCGGGCTATGTCAGTATATGCATAAATCATGACTTCACGTCTAACTGAAAAACTTGTCAGTCCTAGCACAACTTCATCGATTGATTTGCTATACTTACGTAACGCAAAACGCCTAACATTATTAAGACTCCATTATACCACCTAACATAAGCTTTTGAACACATGATTACACGTCTGCGATTGATTCTATACTTAGGCCTCTTTTGTTAAACAAACTTGCTGCGACAAAAGCAGTTGCATTCCTGTTTCTGTGATAGAAAGCAGTACACTGTTTACAATGGGAAGTCCTACACTACTTCACTTGCTCTAGCTGGCGTTCCTCAAGGTGCTGTTCTTTCTTTACCCTTCTCTGTTTTCCTTCTTCTTACATGACTTACCCTATTCTGATGAAGCCAATTTTGTTAAGTATGGCGATGATGTGACTGTTTCACTGCCCGTTACTTCTCAGTTAGATTGTCCCCAAAATGAATAGGTTTTACCAGAAATTAGTCAGTGGACCTAGTCAAACGGTTTTAAGCTTAATCCCTTGACAAATGTCAGGTGGTTAATTTCACTTTCAGATACAAGCGCGATTTATACGAACTAGTTAGTACGCATGGTTCCACTACCATAGATGCCACAGAAGTTGAAACTTAATCAAATATTAAATACATACATAACTTAGATTGTGTATTTCCTTTGAGCTTTCCTGGTCTTCCCACATCATGTTAGTTTCTAGAAAGATATTTCGTCTAGCGTTCTACTTAAGGAGGTCAAGATATTCTGGCATTTTTCAGTCAGTCTTGTATTTTACCTATACTTCGTCATTGTTCCCCCCTCACCTTAATCTTTTCTGGACTACTTAAAAAAAAGATGTTTTTACACTGTGAAGGACACTAAAAACCATCAGTAGGGTAAGTGGGGTGCCGCTAAATCACCAACTCGGTAATACTGTTTTAGATAGACACTTGGATTCCTGCAAGAAATTAGCAGATACTATCCTGTCAGACTCTGAACATCGCCTCCATACACAGCTCTCTCCTTGCATCTCATCCATCACGTAAAACTAGATGCAACTATAGAAGACTATATTTTCGGACGACTAAGTACAAATACTCTACAATACCTTATTTGAGACACATATTATGTGATGATAAAAGTGTAAGACAGCGAATTACTAGCCTATTACTTTGTTGTTAGTATTTCAAGGAAAGATATACTTCACGAAGAAAAAATAAACTGCGATATTATGATTTATGGGACAATATGACGTGATCGACACTGACAATCGACTAATTCGAATCACCCAGATTCTGTAGCTGTCAGCTCTGAATGTCATGACATTCCAATATAAAGCTTATATCTCTGTATACACCTCATACATTTTATAAACTCGATATATATATATATATATATATATATATATAGCATTCAATGACTCATCGAGGAAAATTTTCCTTAACGACAAAATTATCTTCAGAGGCTGTACAACCTTACTGGAAAAGGTATAGTAGTCCATTAGTGTGTCATACGGAGGGAGAGGGATTGATATAATTACTCAAAAGTGGCTCCAAAAGTATAATTAAAAAACTATGTAACACTCAACAGCAAAACGGAATAAAGGGTTAGGAATTTGATAATAAGGTTAAAGTTGTTATTGAGTGAGAAGAAAGGTAGGTGGATGTCATCCACTTGACAAGTATGAAGAGGATGAGAAAATTTACAAAAGTGAATTGGTGAATTAATTACTAATAAAATAAAATAAAAGTAAAACATCCAGTAATGATTCTTTAAGTGACATGACAGTTCGTGATAAGATTTACTTTTAGATCAATCGACTTTCTATAAACCAACACTTAAAACGTTCAATACTCAGATCAAAAACATGTCATGAAGTAAGTTGGTGGATGGTGACTAGCGTTGGGATCCAGAACAACGCGCATTTAGTCATATTCGGAACTCGTCAGCCAGTAGACGTAATTTCATTCCCCAGTGTGTGTGTCGTATGTTTGGCATGCGATTCGCCCCTGTGAAATGTAAGATGCTGCTACAGGACTGGACTACGTCAACTCCAAGCTTAGTGATAGGGAGTGAAGTGATAGAACATGTTGACCACTTCACCTATTTAGGAAGTTGTATCAGCACCAACGGATTGATTGGTGACGAAATCACAGCACGGATCCAAAAAGCTCGAGCTGCTTTCGCTAACTTACACCATCTCTGGCGTAGGCGTGACATCCAGCTATCAACCAAGGGACGTGTGTACTGCTCAGCAGTTCGCTCCGTCCTTCTCTATGGCTCTGAAACATAGCCAATACGAGTTGAAGACATGAAAAGGTTGACTGTTTTTGATCATAGATGTCTACGATCTCTTTCTCACGTTAGGTGGTATAATAAGGTAAGTAATGTTGACGTTAGGCGTAGAGTGTTGGGCAAAGAGGGAAAATCAATCGACGAGACTATAAAGTTACATAGATTGAGATGGTTAGGTCACTTGCTGCGCATGCCTAACCATCGCCTCCCCCGCCGACGGGCATTACTAGCTGATATAGGTATAGTTTGGAAAAGAGTAAGTGGTGGCCACACAAAAACATGTCATCAATCCATGAAATCCCTGACAGTCAAACTGAGTCAGGTAGGGAGATGCAGACTTCCGGGTTGGGGCCCGCCCTCGGGACTCTAAGAATCAATGGCTGGAGACAATAGGTGACATGGCTCAAAATCGTTGTCAGTGGCGCAGATGTATTCAGCCTCTGCAATCTTTCATAACCCTTTCTACCATTACTCATTCTGTTTCACTCTTATACTTGTCAAAACTCTATTGATCCTCTTCACTCATCTTCTTGTCTACCTTTGTGTGCTCTTTGGAACGTGGCAACTGGAACTGCTGCACTTCGGTGCCAAGTTCTATGTTGAATCCAGACAGACAGACAGAGTGTGTGTGTGATGGTGTTCCCACTGGGGCTCGAACCCCAGTGCCCATGTTTCCATAGGCCACGAGAGCTAACCACCTCTTGTGCCAACGGGTATCAGTAATA